CAGTGGCAATTGGTTCGTAGGCTCACCTTCGTCGAGAGTACGTCCAAGTCACTTGATGTTTGTCGCCGACGTCGACACTCAGCTTTGTTCCAGTCTTTGTTGCACGAGGCCACGTTGCTCGCAGGTCGATCAAGCTGGGGCAGAGTGGTGGCGTTGCCGGGGTGATGTCGATGCAAGTTGATGGATGACTTGACTGAGCGATTCAGCTAATTGTAGAATGAGGGGGTTGCAAAGACGGAAAAGGTCGACGGACATATGGTACTTAACATGAGAGAAGAAGAATGGCGCGAGCTGCCATGGAGCATGTCAGCTATGTGAGCCCCCACCATCTCTTCCGATATGCGCAGCAATCGATCTTCTCACTGATCATCGATCAGTTACCATACGATCGCACAGCACCAGCGGAAGCACAAATGTTTCTCCGGTCATGTCTACGTCTACAGTAGCAGCTTTCAGGCGCAGACTGCAGCAAGCAAGCATGACGATCGACCAAATACAGGGGAAAGCAAGGTTTTTCTTTGGGGGTGTGGCTCTGGAAGAGACGCCGCGGCACAATGAGAAATGCATCCAGCACTTTCGTAACCCGCCAGCTCTCTTTTTGGGTTTCGCATCGGATCAAAGCCCGCGAGCTGTGAGCTGCACCGCTGTTTCGCTAGGAGTAAGTAGCACGACTCCTCATGCATCACATCACGCCTTTGAGCGAGAGCGAACAGCTCACAGATGCTCGAGCTTTGCACAGGCATCACTCGTCAAGGCGGACCTGTGAATGAACTTGTCCCTTTTCAAACGAAGCTAGCGCAGGCACTGGGCTCTAACGACTCTTGGCCACAACTTTCCAAGGCACTGTGATTGCAGGCGAGGCAAGCGAACGTTGGAAGCTTTGTTCAGCTCCGCTCTCACAGGCGTCAACGACGCCAAATGAAGGTCTGCAAAAGTTTGCCTTAGCCTATTTTCGACGCGCGTTCCATCGGATTATCTTTGCTTTGGAAGCAAGACGAGGTCACTCTGAATAGGCTGGCTACATGTGCTCTGCGAGGGGGCAAGGCAATGACGCTTCGAAGTTTGGAGCACGACGCGTACAATCAACAATCTTGAAGAGCTCGCCTCCATGGGTGGCGAGCAGCAGCGAGACACCTTCAAGCTCAGCACAGCACAGCACAACATTTAGACGCCGTGCTGACCTCGGCGAGCGGCGAGCGACCAGTGTGGGATTGAGCAGACATGACCTCGACGGCCCAGGAAAGGGCAAGAGCTGTGTTTGAATATCTTGCACAGAGCTCTATTTCCTTGCGCTTGGGCACTCGATGACGATCGATGCAGACATCAGAATTCCGGGGCCACGGCACTTCGTGGATCTCCTCGGCGCTCGATGCTGCTCGCTTCGAGTCCGCGCAATGGGAGCCAAGAAATCAGCTGATCAATCAGAAAATTTGTCCTCCTGCAGCAAGAACTGCTCGATCATGATCCCGGCTGGTGTCGCCGAAGCGCATCGTCACGCGCGACTGGCCCGAGAGCCTTCCTTGGGCAAACGATGGCGAGCGATCTCTGCCCTATAAGTTGCTGCATGGACTTCTTACCTGCGACGTCATTTTCGCCGACATGAGGCGATGCTGCATCGAGGCAATTCACCATTTCACGTTCACGTTCACGTTGGCAACAGGCAAGGAGGAGGGGGATGTCAAATCTGAAATCACGAATGGGAGGAGCGCGTTAGCGCCATCAGATAGTGCGGAGCGCAGAAGAAAACTGCGTCATTTATGCGGCCCCTCTCCG